AAGAAGAAGAAGAAGAAAAGAAAAAAGAAAGAAGATGAAGAAGAACGGAGAAGTAGAAGAGAAAGAAGATGAAGAAGAAAAGAGAAAAGAAAGAGAAGTGAAGAAAAGAGGATAAGAACGGAGAAGAAGAAAAAGGTGTGGTTGGGTGAAGAAAAAAAAAGATAAGGGAGAGAGAGAATGGAGAAAAAAAGATAAGGGGAGAGAGTGAATGAAGGGTAATTAAGTCTTTTTAGTATTAAAAACTTTCCAAAAAAGGAAATGGAAAGTTTATTTGTGGACGGACGAAAAAGGAAAGTGAGAAGTTTTTTTGTGGACGGAGGGAGTATATAAGAGCATTTTGAAAAAAGATGGCCGGTTTCAACTTTGAAGTACACCCAAACTTAGTGCACGCTTAGTAAACAGAAAATCTACAAACGAATCACACTTTTTAGTTTTTTAGAAGTTAAAAAAGAAAAAAATTTAGGGATACCTCAGCTTGTACATCAAGTATACCACAAACACAGACAATTATAATATTATCTATATTTGTTTGTGACACGCTTCGTGTACGAGTTGAGGTACAAATTTGGTGTACTCCTAACACTTTGTTTAAAAGACCGCATATATATTAAACAATAAATCACATCCGCCAGATTCTCCCTTAGCTTGAATGACAAGAAGACGACTTCCCAAGATTTTGTGAAATGTTCATCTTGATTTGATTTTCAATGAAGGCATTAGCCCAGTATTTACATCATTAAATTGAAAAAAGTATAAACGGATACTACGTTGTAATATAGTCAATAACACCAAAAAAACAAATCATTTTTGCGAAAATGAGGTGTATGAGCATAAGATGTACACAGATTTTACAATTGCTCATAATGGACTAAGGTATTACCGAGTATTTTTGAAAGATCGTCTAAACAAATGAATGGTTATGCCAAATCTATTATTAGAACTTAGTTACTATAATTATGAGGCGTCGGGTCTGGTGTTGAAAATTGCCTGAGATGAGGTAGAAGAATGTGTAATCTCTCAAGTGATTAACAGACCCAAACAGATATCTTATGCAAAATATAAACGTCACACACTGCGTGTAACATGAATTGAACCCGGTCAAAACACCCTTTTGCATCCCTCATTGGCCCCTTTAGATATGCCCGGGGTGGGTGTCCGACGAGTGGGGGGGGGTGCGAGTAGGTTAAATGGGTGAAGATGCAGTGGGATAGGGTTAAAATGGGGTGTGACTGTGTACATTGAGAGAACACTCGCAAGTAGAAGATTGTGTTTATACTATATTTGACAATGGCTTTTAATGTGATTTATACACTAATCTGCATTGTTAAAAATTATTTAAAATGCTAACGCTAATTACAAACATTATTCCCAAATTAAATCACACATTCTGCTCTAAATAAATGACAAATCACCCATTCTGCTTCTCTTCATGAGCATGTCAACTGCCAAGACAGAAACCTCAAACCCAGAAACTTACTTTGGAAATGATCACATCTCATATATGAACAATATAAAAAAAACTATGAAGTTTCAAAGGTAGTGTGGGACAATTTTACCTTCATTGGTAGGTGGCCCTAGTCCCCTACCAATGAAGGGTAGAAAGACAATTTCAGAACAATTGAAATATACACATAAATCCAGAAAAAAATACACCAGAAATTCGAGCCTTTAACGACGATGAGCTCAGTTCCCGTGGATCCTAAGGCGATCCAAGATAGACTTGCCATCAAGTTGATTGCTCTGCTGGGAGTACATGAAGTCCTTATACTTCATTGCACCATATCTTGCACCATGGCTGCTGTTCGTGCTTCCCACGAGTTGAGAAGCGGGCCCCACCGTCGTCTCTAGCGATGGGCCGTGCGCGGTGGCAACTGATATTCTGGTGGCTCTGCCATTCACCACCACTCTGTGCACCACACTCTTGTATTTCCCATTGCTGAATATCTGTTCACTCGACACGGATAACTCACTGTTATGGACTAAAACCAGGGTTGTCCTACATTGGTTGTATGCAACCAACAAATGAGGGGTTTATAGACCAAATGGGCTTTCTCACATTTGGGATGAGTTTCATGTTTGGTCTGTAACACTAACACACAGTTTACTTGACATGCCCATCCACTTTAGTGATAATACAGAGAGGCACAAGAAAGAAGAAAAGATTACCTCAATGTGGTCGCCGGTGTTAACCAGAAGGGAGTTGGGAAGGGCATTCACATTGACCCATTTTCCTTCATGCATTATCTGCAACCCTCCAACTTGGTTCTCTATGAGAATGGTTAGAAGGCCATGATCCGAGTGAGGTGGCATCCCCATTGCTAGCTCAGGCTGGGGGCAACGCGGGTAATAATTCCCAATGAATATTTGAAACATTGAGTCCAATTTTAAAGCGTTATAGATGGCACGCTCATCCAGATTCAGGCTTTCCGATATTGCCCCCAGTAATTTCTTAGTCACGCCCCTGCTACTTTCACAATACTCCAACATGATGTCCCTGCAGAAATTGATGACCCATGTGAATTCACTTTTCGGTTTCAGTCTCTAAATCTTAGCATCTGTTCGATTCCAGGGAAATAGAGGAAGGATATTAGGGTAGGGATGGATTTTGCTCCCTTCCCCATCTTTGGCAATACAAAAAATGTAAGACGGGTATTTTAATCTTTGTTGACCAAATTACCCTCTTAGCAAGAAGATATACTCCCTCCAATCTCTAATGGAGTGACTTCATGATATAATTAAGAAAAGTGAAAAGTACAACCACATGTTAATGTCCTAAAAGAGAAAGTAGAGATGTATATAGTTCATTTTGGAACACCAAAAACGAAAAGTTTAAATTTAATTTTGGAGACGGGGATCTTCTTATGGGAGAACACTGGAAAATACCTGAAAGCCGGGGGATCAGAAGGACAGTGAAACTCAGGATGCACAAAGACCTTCAAGAAATCTCTCCAGAAGAGGGCTTTCTCTTTTGAAGCATTGAAGCTGGTCCCACACCTCACTGGGTCCAAAACATGTTTTCCTTCAAACCGCTTCTTCTCCTCTTCTGGCATGTTAAAGAATTTGTCAGTGACCTCAATCACTTCCCTTATCAAACTTTCTGGAATACCATGATTCACCACCTGCCATCACAACCCGATGTTATTAAAGAAGACCAGAAAACAAAATATTTGTAAAAGGTTGTGTAGGAAAGAAAAGGTATATATACCATAAAGAAACCCCACTTTTCGCAAGCTTCACCAAGGTCTTGGATGGCCTTGTACCGTTGATCACTCTGTTTTGAGGTGAGATGGGAGAAATCAATGACAGGTATTGCTTTTGAATCCTCAGGAGATGCATCAAGAATAGTTGAGTGAATATAGCGAGAAGGGATGGAGTTGAGGTCAGGTGATTCAGAAACCACTTTTACAGTTGAATAAGTATCAGACAATTGTGCTACAGCTGAAGTGGCCATATATGTCTTGGTTTGTATAGTATACCAAGAGAGAAAGAAAAGGATAAGATGGGTTCTTGAGGAGGAGGATGATGATGATGATGATGATGAACACAATCTGTAGCTATTTTTGTAGCGAAAGGTCCCTTTCTCAGCAATTTGTCTGTAATATGAGAAGTTGACAGCTATTCAGGGCCACATCCAAGTGGCTAAACTTTGACTATTTTATGTTAAGCCCATATACTCTTCTTCTCTATCCCCTTATCTGAACCTGGCTTGTCTGTAAGGCATAGCCATACCTGTATCTCTCTTGGTAAAATCAACCCACACACATTCTATAGCTATTCTTTTGCCATGCTTATCAACAGAACTGTTGGATACATAAGTAATAAGTTGAAATGCCATAGCCACCATGCATTGCAACTACTTAGGGTTTGCTTTTTCTAAGGGGAAAACGGAACACAATGAAACAACTTTCTTCAGCAACTTTTTTTCCTTTCCATATCATTTTTCCACTATCCAAACATACCCTAACTTTGTTCTTGAGTTCTGGGGTAGAATTTACTATTTCTCTTTCAAGATCTCAGAGCTGGTGGCAATATAGTAATGATGGTAACAAACTAACCATTTACAAAAGCAATTCATATAAGATGTTAGCAGAGTTTAATTATATGCCTAACCTGCATAAGCTAAACTTAATTGCATCAGTGGAATTCAAAGAGCATAGAGATCTATCATTAGAGTTCCCATATCAAAACTGTTGATGTAATCTCTTTAGAGTTTACACCCAAGATTCAATCAAACAATAAGTTCAAGAACACTGCAATAGAATATTCAAAATATACAATTGGCCACTCTTTCAAATTCCACATTAACCAAAGATGCTAAAAATCATCAAAATTTACAGCATCAGAAGAACCCAGTAAATCTCTACCTCTGCAACAAGTCACTTCAAATTGAGTCTTGAACTCTGCCCATGGCTTCTGAAACCTCAGTAAATCAGCCCCCAATTTCTTATCCGCCAGGTTTACACAAGAAATTAACTTCGAAGCTTCTTTCCAGTTTATATTAGGGTTTTTCGAACCTGTGACGGCGATCTTCGCATCGAGAAAAGCTCCCGAACACTTCTGCTTCGCGTATCCACAGCATCTGTCCTTCGCCTCTCTGAGGCAAGCCTCCATTTCTCTCTCTTCGCATTTTTGCCTCTCCGAGAATTCCTGTTTGGAAGCTCCGCCGCCGAATGCGAATCTCCACCAGGGAGGCTGACATTTCATGGAGGCGGAGACGGAGCAGCCGA